GGCGAGGTAAACTTTTGGTGCTGGCCTCGGTTCGCTCGGTGCTTCGTGGCACATGCTATTCCGCTTCAAAGTTTCGGTGACACGAAATTTTTTGTCAAGGCTACAGGTCAACCCGAGGTCACGGGCAAAGCCATACTGGCGGGACACATCGGTAACACCTTGAACCAGTTTCCAGGGGGGTCACCGTCTGCGAGGGGTGCAGGCTGCACGTGCTGGGGTCGGAAAACCGTTTTGACGTGAGGTCCTCTGGCTCAAAGAAATTTTAAGCTATCAACCTCAAAATAGGTTCAATGGTAGTCCCAGGCAAGGCCTCCAAAATAATGCACATTTGGTTGAGCTAAACTCTGTGGTGCATGAGCTATGCACGTGCAAGCCGATTGCACCCCTTCGTACGTTGCCACGCCTGCAGGGTAAACGGCAGCTCTAACTGGTTCAAAACTTGCAGGTCCTAAGAAGAATACATTTGATCACGACATTTCGGCGAGATAATATCCGAGGGGTGCAAGCTGCGCGTGCGGGGGGCGGATAACGGTTTTGACGAGGGATCCTCTGATCCCGGGAAACGTCGATCTAGCGACACAAAAGTCGGTACACTGATAGAACTAGACACACGCTATTAGAAACAGAAAGATGGCATGGCGCAGCCGCTATTAATGAAGTCATTGGGCTATGGATCCTCCAATTCTGGCCCAAGGCAACGCACGAGCGCTGCCGGCATCTAGTACTGAAATCGCTGATGGTAAGGTGCAAAACAGCCGATTTTTGTTCGATTTGACGTGGAATGCCCCCACAGCGATCGCTGTGTGCGGTGACGGAAGGCTGACGTAGGGACGCAGTGGGCGGAGCTTGGAGGCTGTGTGCGGTCCGACCGCACACAGGCCCGTGAACAGCCCTCAGTGAAAAGTCGTCGCTCCTAGTTGTAGGAAAAGCAAAATAGAAACACCATAAAATCATGAAGTTTGTCATGAATTGTGAGAAATAAAACGAGATGTGAAAGACGTCTTCTATGAGATATACCTCATTCCAAAAGACTCGATATAGGCCAAGCTATTCCTCTAGAACTATTCGCAGCGTTTTACCCAAATAGTGATTAGGACTTTATCGTAAGCTAACCAGATTGGATGTGTCATGGCACCTAGCTTGATAACCTTCCAGTAGAATATCCATTTCATATCACTCACCTCATCAAGTGCTTGAGGAACATAGTAAGGCTCATTTTACAAGTTCAAAGTCCGACCCTTTATAATTTTGATCCAGTTTCTGGAAAATGCCGCTACCGTCGTCCATCATACCATCTTCTCAGCAGTCCAGGCTAACACCACTTCCGTAGTGCGGGCATGCATTTCATGCCGGGCACACCACACGCGGCGTGCACGGTGGGCACGATTTCAAAACGTTTTGGCGCTCTCTGCATTATGCATGAGCAGAGGGCCGGCGCGGCGCGGCGGATCATAGCGGCCATGGTCCACCCGATCACAGGCCCCTGTCGAACACATTCAGCGGCTACGACTCGACGAAAAATACAGAAATGGAGGCGGTTTGTTTGTTCAAATGCCGTCAAAAGGGATGCAAAGGTGCGAAGCGTGAAAGTGGGGATGGAGTTGTGACAGAAGGGAAGAGAGGAGAGAGAAGCAGAGGGAGCAGAGAAAGAGGAGTGGAGAGGGAGGCCAGGCAATAGCCGGCGCGCGGGGCGGCGCCATAAAAATGATTCGCTTGTGGCTGGAACGCGGTGGGCGGCTGCCGGAGGCCCTATAAGACAGGTAATCCCCGCCGGTCCAGTCACGCAACGCACAGAGCGCGCTCGGCGCCGGTCCGTGGTCGCGCGGGCGGCGGTCCGGCCGCGGTCCCCGGTCTGTCTGTCTCGGGGACAGCTGTCAGGACAGGACAGTGTGACAGCCGGCTGTCACAGGGCGGACAGCTCACAGACGCGCCACACTCGAGACTGTCACCAGTAAGTGCATTGGTCCGCCGTGATAGGCCGAACTCTAATGTAATGACGCCGACTCGGGTGCGTTCACGTCACACAAGTTCCGGCCAAGTGAGTGGGCCATTCAGACCATGTCCGACGGCGATGATGGAGAGTCAACTCATTTTCCCGGAACCGCAATGTTCGCACCAGCAGAACGGAAAATGTTGGCTCCGTTTTGAGCGATTGTTCTGGCATTTCATGAAATTGGACGCCAAATAATTTACATTGTAATAGTCGAGTAAACCGTTTATACAGAAAATAAGTACTTTGATAGAAAACAGCGTACCATAACATAGGTAGAAGAACAATGAACATAATGTAATGTTTCAAATTAAAAGTCGAAATAGCTTAATTTCCGAAAGGGTTTTGTTGGGTCTAAAAGCGACGACGACGACGATCAAGCAGAGCGACGTCGATTCAAAGTAACTCCAGCACCACGGAATCTCTTTCATTTAGTGACAAAAAAACTGGCACTGTGAGTACAAACCTCCTAAGCAGAGCTCTCACAAGACTGTTGGCAGAGCCGCCGCTGGTCGTTGAGCCTCTGTCGGATCCGACGCGAGGTCGGCCGGCGCTGGCTCCACCGGAGAGGAGGGCAAACCGTGCCGTCAATCGGAGACCGCTGGCAAAAACAGGGCCATCCATCGCGTCTGGAGCGGCGGCGACCTCCGTCTGCCATTAGCCGAGCGGGCCCTGGCCGGCGAGCACCGGCTAATGGCCGGAGCAGGTCCAGACGGCGGCAGACCGACCGCCGCAAACGGTCCGACGATCCCGACGTCTGACCGCAGACGGCCCGACGATCCCGACATCTGACCGCAGACGGTCCGACGATCCGGACATCTGACCGCAGACGGTCCGACGATCCGGACATCTGACCGCAGACGGTCCGACAGAATCACGGTAGTAGGCCTCGGATATGTGACCCGATCCCGACCTCTGGCCTTGGATATCCGACCCGATTCGGCGACATTTGGTCACGGATGGTTGGCCTGATCCCGACAGTGGGCCTCCGGGACATCCGTTTTCGGCATCTAACCTCCGAGGTCCGACCCAATCCAGATGGTCAACTCGGATATGAGACCGCTACCGATATTTAACCTCGGATGTTTAACGTTTAGAAACTACAGAAGCTGGTCGGTCTCTGAATAGCCCTTCACAACCGATTCCAGCCATTGTCCCTGATGCCCCACGGACCTCTATGGCTCGTCCTCAGGAACCACTCTATGTAGTCAACTCGCTAAGTGACACAGGCTGCAGTTGACAGTGAACATACCCGGGCGTTCTCCTCGAACCGAGCCATCCACGCGAAGTCCGATCGAGTTACCGGTCGGACCCGTTTGAGAAATGGACACAGCGCGACAGCGCCGGCGAGCGCATTATTATTCCCTGGCCGGCCGGCCGTCTGTATCGACAAATGCGGCGCAGGACACAGCGTCTGGACGACGAAACTGACGCAGCAGCGGCGCTGCTGATGCAGATTGGTGTCGGCGCCCCGCGGCCGGCTCCAAATTGAGACCGACTGGCGGCGCCGAATTGGCCGGTGGATGGGCATCTGCTGACGGCCCTGTGCGCCGTCTAACGCGGCCTGACAAGGTCTGACAGGCGCCACCGCCCCGCCGATGGGGGAGACCGCCCTCCGCGCTGCTCGGCTCTGACTCCGCCCTGCCCAGCTCCCGGTTATAGTCCTCCACCCTCCCCAGTCCCGGTCAGTCCTCCCCGGCCGGCTGCCGGTCACAATTCTCCGCCCTCCCAGCCTCCGGCGGACATCACTCTCCGCCCTCCTCGGCTTCTGAATTCACGGCCCCCCGCCGTCACCGCCGTCCCTGCAAGCGTGCACCGTCCAAAGTCGGAATGCTACGAGCACCGCTCTGTGTGAAGAGTTATGACAATTCGGAATGGCAGAGTCATGCACGAATTAAATCTAGTTGATCTCGCAAAGTTCTGAGAGGCACTGACGAGTGGTTGGAGAATCGGTATGACGTAGCACGAGCGAGCTTTTTAGACGATGGGTTGACACACATGAAGACCGATGCAGCGTATAAATGGGATGATGCGCATTTCAATGTGTTTGTTTCTTACAGGCGAAATAAGGCACTAGTTATCTGTTAAACAAGAAACAGACTGCAACAGCTCGATCTCCGGCATAAGGCCTTAACCGTCTAATTCTAGTCATCTAGTAAAGACCAAATTTAATGCCAAAATTAAGTTACTTTGCAAGAATCAAATTACTTTAAAAACTCATTAGTCAAAGCAAGAAGCCGATACATATGCACCTTACAAGAGCCGAGGCCACTGGTTCGTGGAATGAAGCGATTGAGTGATTCAACATTATGTCAATAGATCAACTGATCACAATTGAATAGCGGAACAACTCATCTACCGGTCAACAACAAGCTGTCATGTTGATTCTATGATTTTTTTATAAACGTTGCAAACATATGTCATTTTTGTCTACTTGACCCGTGATATGACATGAGACCTAACAAAACGCAAATCGCTTCTCTGCAAAGGACAGATCACACGGTGATTACTTTTTGTAAGCGTACCTATAGGAACCCGCAGACCAGTGTCCGTCGCAACATAACACCCATATCATCTGCAAGTATGGGCTCATAAAAGAACACGCAACTTCTATTCGACTCTGAGTTGTGTATCGTGTCAATATCATGTTAAATATTTGCAGGCGTTTACAACAAATATGTTTCCACGTTTACCAATGAAGCCAAATGAAAAAGCTAAACCAAAGGAATGCATGTTACGTAATGACGAATACAATGCAATATACATAGACTATCCGCCGTTAAGATCCCAAGTAAACCACGTTGTTAGAAAATTGATTAAGTTCCAGCTTGTCGCAGAAAAAAATGCCTTTTAACTACAGCCATTAAACTAAATACCCGAAAACGAGAGCTCATCATGTTCTAATTTTTGTCGTTTAAATTTTACCGCTTAACCAGTAGCCAATGCCATAAAAGAAAGTGCATTATCAAACACAGAAAATGTTCAACCATTTGTCATTTCATCTACTGACCTGTAAGTCACTCCCAATGACGATTTTGCTCAGATCACTATCATATCAGCGCGTCTGCCGAGTCTCCCAGTTTGTCCAGTCTCTCCACTCTCAGTTGCACCGTTCGTACGAGCCGCCGCGGCAGTCTCACCGCCCAGCTCCCCACTGTCCTCTCCCCACACCGTGCGCGATCCGCAGTCCTCAGGTGCAGCTCCGGCGCTCCGCTGCTCCCGGGAGCCGCTCCGAGACAGCCACCGCGCGCCGCCGCCGCCGTCCGACTGCCGTCGACGACGACGGCGCGTCGGTGGCGGCAGTGGCGCGCGCCGGCCGCCGGTCGATGGGAACATGTACGGCCGGCCGGCACGGCCAGGTGAGAGGGGGTGAGCTACCATGACTGCCGCCGCAGCTGCCGGAGCACGACACGAGTGGCTCTTGACGAGCGGCGAGCTATAGGGGAGCGCAGCTGGCGCCCTCGGCCCCGCTCCTCACCGCCGACCCTCCCCGCGACCCCACTCCCCAGCCGATACCTTCCCTCGGTCAGCGGCAGGGGTAGTAAAACGACACCCCGTTTCACAGAACATTCACCCGCCGCTGTGAGCCTCCAACGCTTCCTGCTAACTCGCCGAGAGTAACAAACAACGTTTATGGACCTTAAACCCGACATTATTGAATTTGCTCCTGTGGCACCCCATCGACCTCTGCGCAGCAGCTCGGGGTCGCGTCCACAGCACTTCGCTACCGTTTCAGACGCCCATCGACACGCTTTCGCTCTCCAACCGCCACACTGTTTGTAGTGTTTTACGGGCGGCTGACAGTGAGTCGCGGATTTTTTTTTTGCCGGCCGAATTTAAAGGCTACACCTGACCGGGATCGAAATTGCAAACGTCGTCCGCCGGAATTAGACATCGCACGCAGGCAGCGCTCGTGGCGAGCTGGCAAACTGACGACAGCGCCGCAGGTCGGGGACGGGACGTCGACGTGCGCCGCGGCAGGCGCGCGACAGATGAAAGGAATCCGAGCTACTAAGTCCCCGGACGGGATATCAGATCAGCACAGAAGAAAATGTGAACGCAAGGTAGATCAAAGCGCCTGGGGAGTGGGGACCCGGCGAGGGAGGGACGCCGCGCCGGCCGGCACTCAGGGACGGCTAATCATCGGATGGACTGCGGCGCCGGGTCGGGTGACCGGCCATCCACCAAAACACGGCCGCCGCAGCTGCCAATTGCCATCATAGAGACAGGTGGATGATGACGGGGTGTCAACACTGCCGCTATGGCTCATCGGGGCCTGGGCCCACAACTGCGACCCGAACAACTGGAAACTGCCAGGCAGTAGCGGCGAAAAATGACGGATTGACGGTGTACCTATATCAGCTAGGAATTAAAGTATTACAGATTGACATCATAGTTCGATAAAATATTGCACCGTATATGGGGTTTAACCGTTTCTCAATATCCAAAGAATGGATCATAAAAAACGAACAAAGGTAATACTAAGAATACCCAGTGATATATGAGCATATTCAGCGATAGCGAGGTAATCATAACAGGAACTATGACATGGAAAACGGTGTCGGAAATACCCAGGCAGATGGCAAAGGACATCACCTAAACCAGATATATCGCCGACCCGCACAGACAAATGATGGGCGCCCGCTGACTTTTTATCAACGTAATCCTGCTATCTATTCCAACCGCTACAGCCAACTGTGCGAATTATGACTATAACCGCCCAACAAGTAAATGTCAGTCCCGTTTAATATTTATCCCAGGACAACAAAGAAAACATTATTTAATGCACGCATTGCAAGCAGTAAAACGAGCACAGTACACATCGTAAAAGCTTACCGCGGCACCACGATCAGGACATTGAAAGTGTTGGAAAGCAATACAGATTACTTTGGTTGGCAGATTAAGTGTTCGTTTGAGTTTTATGACATTGCAAGGCCTTTCTTATTCTAAACTATGAACCAAAGTAGTAATAAACGTTATGAGTGCCGTATAATGTTGGGATATGGGTCTGCATAAATGACAGTAGAATCACGGTAGGTCATCTATCATTCATGAAGTGAGCATTAATTTCGCCATGATGACCAGCTTAAGAAAATCCTGACATTAAGCCATAACTTGACAGAGCCAAAACAGATCGGTCAGAATCGACCCACGCCAAACTTATCTGCACGCTCCTGAACTAAATTTAATTTTATGATGTGCCTTGTGAAGAAACTAGTTAGGTTTGGGCTTCAACCAAAAGTCTAAAAAATAAGGTTCAAACCAATATACCCTGCTTCATACGCTCAGCACGAGGCATATTGCGTAACCTATATGTAGGTTACGCATACTATACTAAACATATGTAGCAAAAACTGGCTGCCAGTCATAAAACGTCGATATTTTTCTTATTTCTGCACGCTTGATCAATTAATCAAAAGTGAAAAATTGCGAAACTGTGTCAATAATTGTGATTTTATCGCATGAATGTATACGTGAATATTAGCTGTTTTCACGACTGGCTATCTGGCGAATGCACCTGATTTGATCGAATCTGCACGTAAGCTCTTTTATAACAAATATCTTAATATCATGAATTTATTTCAGCCTTTGAAAATAATGTCTGATTAATTTAAAGAAATATGAGGTCTATGACATCTGTGCAACCCAAACGCAAAACTTTTTAGAAACACAGTGAACTTATTTGACCAAATCTGCACCAAATCTGCACCTAATCTGCACCTAATCTGCACCGAATGTGTACCAGATGGCCGACGTGAAAACAGCTATTATTTACTATTTATATTTAAGGTCTTTGCGAAAGATTTCTGGACTTTTCCCACCGACGGCGACATTCAGAGAGGCTTTCTAAGTTTCCGAGAATCTCTCACGATAGTCGCGGCACGGGGCCCGAGCTGCTGTCGACACACTGAGAGTGAGCTCGCCCCCGCGCGGTTAGTGGGCCCAGATTACCAACTCAGTCCTGACACTGCCCGGCTTATGGCACCCTCTCAAACCGAGGACGACCTTCGCGGGATGACGAGACGGCCTTGTGCGTTCAGCTCGGTCATTCCGCCGAAACGGGCTCCTTACCAACCGTCTTAGCCCCGCTCATAGCGCCTGATGATGCATGAGTTACACACAGACCCCGGTACCTCGGTAGGTGATGCTGCTTCATGAGCTGGAAGCCCTCTCGGGTCATGGCTTGGAGATCAACGTCACTGAGTTGACTACGCACCCAGCACCAATAACCGATCGCATGTATCGTACGCACGTCTGTGGTACTCACGATGCGGTGATATGCTTAGTATCAGTGCTCCTTTACCGCCTTCATTCTTCAGTGTTGACTTAATTCCAATTCCAGCACCGGCATGCATCACGGAGTAGTACCGCTAAACTTCCAAAAATTATTTGGTATTTATAAAAAGAAACGCCGCCATATCCGTTACACCATGACACCACGACGGTAGGCTCATAAGCACTGTTTGGCAAAGAAATGCTTCATGTTCAATGAGGTCATATGGAGGACAATAGTGGCAACCGCCACCACTGACCTCAAATGTATCTGAAGTTTTGTCAGCACGCGGTCACTCGAAAAAAAAGACGACCGCTGGAAACCTGCAATGGAAACAATAACAATTGACGGAACGGAGCGGGCGACCACATCAGCTTATGACGAATGACGATTGCGGAGAAGCGACTGGCCTGCGCCTATTTAGTGTCAATTTACATTTCTTTTCTAGGAACGGCTACTGGTCCAAATGATAAATGATGAATAAGCTGTAGCGATATTCAGCTGCACCATCAGACTTGGCAGACGGCATCATTTCCACAGCCGAGCTATATCCGAGCATAAATTCATCTCATGTTGAACTAAAGGAAGCTTGAGAGTGGATATCCTAAGAGGAGCTGAAAGCCATCAACAAGGAAGGACAGAGAGACGCGAGAGCTGGGGATGTCCCACCAAGCTGACGCCAGAGAGGCCTGAAATGGTGAGCCAAAACGACATCCGCCAGAAAGACCGTTACGTTGGATATACCAGACTAAAATGGCACGACAAATGCGAATCTGATGAAACTTCATTATAACTGGACACGACGAAATGAAAAAGATGGCTACCCGGCAGTCATATACAAATTAAATCCATCAACACGTCAAAACGAAATCATCAGTCAGAGCCGAAAACAGCACAGCCACTTTCTGAAACAAAACTCTTCTTACTTCCGGCAAGGGAGTTATCTATTTTTGTCCAACGTATTTCGCTCCGTCCCCATCCTTTCTCGGTCAACCACCCGTTTCAGCCGAGTCCTCAGTCTAACGCTGAGCTCGTTCCACCCGCGGGTCACAGCTGCCCGGTTGCCCGGGCCCCGACTCGGTCCGCCCTAGCCACAGCTGCTCCTCAGTGTGTATCCGACACGCTGCCAGGGCGGCTCCCAGGCGGTAGAATCTGGGCCGACACCGGGCTCTGGGCGGTCGGTCGGCGCGTCCGCTCTGAAATGGGAGCTGTCAGCACGAGCTCCGCCCGCGAGGTCGGCTCATTCTCCCCCGCCCTCGCTTCCTCTCCTCTTTGCGCGCTCCCGGCTGAGCCGGAGTCGCTGGGCCCTGAAGAACAAGGCAGTGCTCGCAGTGGCTGACATATTCTCGCGTTCGTGTTGCCACGAAAGCAGAGAATAATAGCTTCGTGTCTGCGCACCGGAGCGTGGCAGGAACTGGCACAGACAGAAGTTCGCCGGAGGCTCGAACCCGAGCGGCACGCAGCGCGAGCGACACCGCCCGGGGCGCTCCTCCACCGCGCTCCTCGTTATGAGCCGACTCGTTATCGTCGGAATTTTTGTCAACATTTCCGCTGCGTTGTTCGTCATCGCCCTCGTCAGATCTCCCGTGGACCATAAACTTTCCGATGCCATTTTGATACAGCGCGGCTGCTCATAACGGCGTTATCAGCTGATTGCGTTCTGTCATCAGCTGCTGACGGCCGGCTGAGCCGCTAAACAGGCTGACAGCGATTCATTACCGGCTGCAGGAGGAGCCGTGAGGACGGCCGCGGCGACGTGGCCCGACCGGCGTGCGATGATAAGTGGCACCGGCAGACGGGACGGGCGCGTCAGCTGGGTCAATACTCCCCAGACAACGGAAACGAATTATGAGATCATAACGGGCCGACGCAGGCGCGCCGCGGAGGGGACCCCAGCAGACCGGCCGCCCACCAAGGTCGCAGGGGTGAAACGCAAATGGCGACGGCGTGGGGCGCTACAAGAAAAATGATCA